AAATCGGGGAATAAGAACTAGCAGACTAGCCCACTTTGCAGAAAATATCTATATTGATGTCTACTCTATGCTGGCAACAGCATTATTAATCCTAACATGCTGTCATTAATAAAAACTAGAGGAGTATGAAGTTTCTGTAATTATTTTAGGTTGATCTGGGAGTATATTTTCCTGGAGCTAGGTAGCATCTTAAAACTGCAAAGGATTAGACAGACAGAATGAGTTCAAATATTTGTCCAGCCATTGAAAGGAGAAGCCTCACTTCCGCCTGTGATGAGGCTTTGGAAATCTCCATATCCATCATTGTTCCACAGATAAGTGAAGATTGCACATTGATTACTCTTTCAGTTGCCTTTAAGCAGCTTATGTGAAATGTTAAATTCTAAGTTGCCTAAAATCCCTACTTTTTAATTTGTTCTCTGACTTGTATGCAGCAAGGCAAAACTTTGTGAGTTTATATACACATGCACACACAGGAGCACACACACCCCCTGATCAGAGCCAGGTCCTTCCAAATATGAATTATGCTGAGCAGATTTTAGAAGGGTACAAGTGGAACAGGGGCAGTCGTTCTCATTAATCTTCACAAGGGCATGAAAAGAAAAATAAGGGACTGCCTGTTCCCTCTAGTCAAATTATGGCTATGCAACTTATCACAAAGCATCTGAGTTTCTGGTCCCTTATTTAAAGCTGAAAAGCTTTATTTAAAGCTGATGCCACTGCTTCCCTCATATTTTGAGATCCTCAGAAAACTTAGGATAATCACTTATTTTAAAAATATTTTATTTATTCCTCCTTCATTCTTCTAAAGTTATTGCCCCTGTCATTCTTCTGAAATGAGCTTTTAAGCATCCAAAAGAATATAAAGAGCTTTGCGAAATAACTACAAAGAATGGGCATTTTAAAAGAGTGCTTGGATCTGTTTACCAAAACTGTGACCTATTAGCAAATGCCACAAGGCTCTAGGGTCACATAAGCAGATCCAGAGAGTAGTCGTGCTTGACTTCACCACAGTGTCTGTCTAGATGCCAGGCCTTTGCTTATGGGATTTGCCTGGACTTAGATTTAACAATGCACATATAAATGACAGCAAGTCATAGAAGCTGGAGTGGAACTTCCCCCGTTTGTGAATAGCAAGACGACCCAGGGTTTGTTCCTGGTTCAGACGGGCCCACAGCTTTTGTGACGGTTTTGCTGAGTTCCATCTCCAGACTAATATTTACGATTGCTTTTTTCCCCCCCAAATTTTAGAACTTTAAAGAAGGTTTTAGCTACCCTTGTGCAAATCATGTTTGCTTTTGGTTTTAATTGCATGGAGGAAGGGGAATGAATAATTTTCAGGGCTAATGGTTTGCTTAAATGCTTAGTTGCCTGTTACACCATATCTTCACCTGACATTTTTGACTAGTAAATTTTAATGCTTCTGTAGTTTTTCACTGGCTTGTATTTTCCATTTCTGCACGTGTCCCATTTGTGCTGGGCACATCATTTGATATTTGTAGCAGATCAGCAGCTTGTATGAGCAAGGTATCATTTAACAATATCGACTTACCGCATTAAGATAAATCCTTTGGGATTTCAATGCCAACGCGCTGAATGCCCAACAGACCTCCTAGTCTGAAATGATCAGCATCTTGTCTGAACACTGATCATCAGGGCATTTTACATACAACCCCCCATGGAGAAATACAGTTCTTTATATACTTTTGCATTCCTGGGGCTACAGGAGAGCACAGCACTGTGGAAAGTTTGAGCCCTTCTACTGCAGCCTGCGTCATCAGTTGAAAAGGAGACACTTGAAAACTATGAAGACACCAGGTTTATGACTCCTCTACAGACAGTCCCAATAATTGTATGGGGATATTTGACTAAATAATTTCAAAGCTTGTAGAGATACCATGATGGGTTCCCACTGTGTTTTCTTTCCCTACATGAAAGGCAGATGTGCATACTCTGTGAAGTTCAGACAGGCACTTGACAAAGTTGGGTGCCAGTCAGTTTAAAGATAAATGGGGCCTCACCTTCTCACACAGTGGAATCATTTATCTTCACATGGCTCATAACATGAATTATTTATAGCTATGGAAAGAAAAATAGTGGGGATATGGACTTGGTGCAATTTCTGTGAACCAGTTAGACATTATACGGTTGGATACTGCTCTCTTCCAAGTGAAATGCAGCAATGGACTGCTTTCCGTAGAGTGAAATAATTTTTACATGCCTTGTCAGTCTCGCTATGGCCGTGGAAAGAAATACAGTGAAAGCAGAGACACTGGCACTGTTTGTGTTATTTAGAATGTTTTTGCAGCTAACAGTTTTGACCTCTATTCTGTTTTGATGGTCCTGGTTTCAAAAGGCCACGTCATGTTTTCCAGCTAGAAGAAGTGAATAAATAATTTCTTTTCCTGTGGACTCTCACAGGTTTTACCCAGATCCTGGTTCAGAATTATTCCAGAGAATTTCTGGTGTAAAACTGATATGCTGCATTGTCAGTGGAATTATAATGATTAACAGCTTCAAATCTACCCTCTGAGGCCAGGAGGGTTTCATTTTTGTCCCTTACGGTCTTCAGAGACCCTGCAAAGAAAGTTAGTGAGACTGGAATTTGGAATTCAACGTGTGAAATCCAGGGGGAATCGTTTAAAACATCAATCCTTACTTCAGAATGGTGTTTGACAGGCTGCAAGTAATTTCTGCTTCAAGCAGTCTCAGGCAGCAGAGTAATCCAAAGGTCATGTCATTCTTATCATGAGTAAAAGAGATCTTCTTCATGATAGATGGCTACTCTCTGTGTGCTATGATGCATAATATATTAATAATTTTAATTCACAATTCCATTTGTCCAACAATTTTGTCAGGGCAAGCTAAACTATAGTTAGGTACACCTGTGCTGTGCAAATAGATGGGACTTTTGTGGCAATCCATCATAAGACCTGCAACACAGTCCCAGTTGCACATACTGGAGCTGTGAGGAATCACTTCTACAAATGGAAGTGTCAGCCTGCAGGAATTGGGCCAAGAAGTCTTATGTTTTCACTGCTGATCTTGACCTGTGCTGGTGATCACAGCTGAAACCATATGGGTTTCTGCCTCCAGTCTCATGGTATTATGTAGAGCAACCTTCAATGTGTTCTTCACCAGATTTATCAGGTTGGGAGCCTAAGGTTATCTGTTCTTGGCTAGCCTAATCCCAAAACTGGAGGACCACAGACAACAAACATGACTCTTGGTTTTAGATCACTTTGAGAACTGTGTTATCTGAGACATAAAGATTTAAGCTGGCTTTGTGTAAAGCGCTCGGGATGTAATACCACCACAGCTGCTGCCTACCCTCATGCCTTTAATAGGACTGAATGCAAAAGCCACTCCTCTGCAGAACCAGACACAAAGGTAATAAGCACTAGTATTAGTTCAGTGGGTCTCAGAGCAAATTTGCTTTCTCTTTGCCACAAATGCAACTCATAAGCAAACCTTTATAACAATATACATTGTTCTTCCTTATTTGAATAGTACATTCTCCTGAGCATATTTCTGTCAATGTCAGTGCAACAAAGTGCTTTTTAGAAGAGGGCTGAATTCGCCTCTCAGCTATTAGGATTTTTACCTCCTCACTCCTTGCTGCTGTTTATATTTTACACGCAGAAACATGGTAAGAGCCATACTGCTCTTCCATGTCAGTAATCATATGTTTTCAAAATGAATGAATGACGTCCACTAAAGGTCATCCTAAATTCAAATTATTTTTAAATGCGCTCTTCATTTACCAGCATCATGCTGTCTTTGATACATTTCCATCTCCACATTAGCTGTTTTGGCAGCTAGATTTGCATTTTGCCAGATTTGCTTTTTAAGTGGCCAGCTGTTACCTCAAATTTTCAGAGCTCTTACAGCAAGATGCTTTTCAATAGCAAACATTACTCTCCATTTGGTTTTCTGAAAGATCTTGTTTTCACTTCCAGAAGTAGGCAGCCAAGGCTCTATGTCATATTACTTCTTCACTGTATGCATCTCTAAAAAGAGCTATTTTTGGCACTGTTCTCCTGAAAAAAAAAAAATAAAGTGTTTTTTTAATTTTTCAAATAAATGTGGATCCATGGTTTTATAAGTGGGGGAGGATGGAAAGATGCCCTGTATTTCAAATTAGGTTTTGTGACCTATTATGTACTTATTGCACAAGATTTTATGGGTTGGAAAAGGGACTGGTCATTCCAGTTCTTCAGCACCTCTGGGAGAAGTTGTAAGGTGGAGGAAGTAGAATCACTGGTCTGAATTTCAGAACAGATGTCTTATCAAGTTCATCAGTGCATTTCATAATCATTATTTAAAGTAAGAGTCATTGATCCCATCCTTCATACATGTATTCAAACAAAGGTAATAGGTGCTCTGCCTTCAGAACAACTGAAGAAGCAGCATTTCACATGAACTCACAATTGCTTTTCCATCATACCAAATCAGAAAAGTTAGACACATGAAAATGTGTATTTAGTGACACTGTCTTCACAATGGACAAACTTGCGTATAAGGCTAATCCCAAACAAACGTATCCCAACATTTGTTTATATAAGGATAATGGAAGTATTTTTTCAGAATTCAAATATGTTTTACTTTATGTTTGGTTTTATTTCATTTTTTCATGTTCTTGGGTTTTGATAGTTCCTATGTATGGTAAGGGATTCACAACTTACACAGGCTGATCTTCTGTCAGGCAGACCACTACATCTACAAAGAAGCTTCCCTTAATGTTCTTTGACATCAGAGTGCCTCAGTTTGGGTCATCTGATGGATCCGGTTCTGAGAGAAATACCTCTGTCTTCAGAACAACTCAGCCCATAGCTCTTTAGTAAGCCTTGTGAGAAACGTTAGGGAGGGGATACATCTGACCAGTGTGATTCCTAACAGGGACAGCAGCCTCCTTGGGGATCCGATAAACTCCTGTACTCCTGCCCTCAACTACTGAATTGCTGTCATGAACTAAATTTTTGCCTGTTCATTCTTTGCAGACATTGATGAGTGCTTGGTAAACAATGGTGGCTGTGACCATTTCTGCCGAAACACGGTTGGCAGCTTTGAGTGCAGCTGCCAGAAAGGCTATAAACTGCTCACAGATGAACGGACCTGCCAAGGTAATACTTTACTTGTTCTACTCTTTGTATAATGAGGATATTATTTTCAGTGGATTTTTTTTTTTTTTTTGTGATTAAGTTATTTGTATTACAGGTTTTAATCATACTGTCATAGGAAGTGAAGTTAGAAAAAACCTACCAGATTGTAATTTTCTGAGGTGGGGTTAGAAGATTTTTGGAAACGTTTTGTTTCAATGTTTTTAGTTGTAGGAATGTCAGTGTCCTGCTGAAGTGTGAAAACCCGCGTGGTGTGGTGGAATAGGCTCAGGCAGAGTGCGCTGTGTTCAAATCCTCTAATTTGCTATGATCTTAATGGGACAGAGGCTTATCTTTTTTACACCAGAGTCATTTAGAGTAACTTACTGGAATAAAGCATTTGCTACATTTAAACTTAAAGAAGAGTCTAATTTGTGAGCTCACCTTTGCCTGACAGAATCTGTTTATGGAGGGATAATGGAGGTATTTTGTGAGAATTCAAATTAAGTGTGTTTTACACCATTTTCTGTGCATGTCATGATTTGTTATCTAAGTCATGATGTTCTATATTCTATGACTAATTAAGTGCGTAACCATTTCCAACTTAAGTATTAACCATGGTCCTTTGGAGAAATGACACTGTACACTTGAGCTCTGTAACTTTATTCTTTAAAAGCCTCCTAAAAAAGTTGAGAAAGATGAGCATGCATCAGTAGTGAAAGAAGGGGAAGTAGGATATATTCAATTAAAATTTTGTTCAGGAATTGCCTTTTTATTAATACATAATTATTTGCATGGGTTTTGAACACGTAAAAGTTATGAAGTCCAAAACAACATTAATATTTTAGAGCTTTGTTCATCAACAAAAGAGAAACCAAGGTCTGAAGATACATATGTCATTCAAAGAATTTTCCATTGCATCTTATTGGTACTTCCAACATCCAGGAAGCCTTCTCCACCCTGACTGTGCGATTAGACACAAAAGAGTCAGTGCAAGGTTAGTTTCAAGCTGTGACAGGATGGGAAGAGCTGAGAGTGGCACGGTTAGTGCCACATGACTGGGCAGAAATAATATTGTAGGATCATGTCATACAGGGGTAAGCTGTCTGGTTTTGATGTACCTGCTAAAAATAGGGACAGGATGTTAAAAAGAAATGTTCCCTTTTTGATGTATTTAGAGAGTTAGGAATACTTTCTGGTTCATGAATTTCATGTGTCGTGACATGCTTTCAGTGTGGTCAGGAGTTTCACCACTGGACTAACTGTAATTACACTGGTGAAAAACTCAAGAAAAAACTCAGGACCTGCATTCTTGTTAGGCAAGAGCTGGTGCAAAATTTATTTGTTCATTATGTTCTTAGTAATATGCTTTGAAAGCTACCTATAAATAATCAAATATCTATCGTGATAATGGAAAACTAGAAGCAGCTTTGTAAATGTTCAAATGAGTTTTGTTTCTTCGTGCATCTGGGCTACTGAATGAGTGGGTCACTGGTAACAGTACATACCATGCAAGGAATGATGCAGTGGCTGATCTACTCCTCTCCCTCATGAGATCAGACATGGAAATATCAACATGATCTGGCCATCCTACTTTTTCCAGTGTCACTGAGCAAGGGCAGGTACTCTGTATACCTCTATGTGGTACTTCAGTTTGTCAACTGTAGCTTATTTGTTGCTGTAATAGATTAGCACAAGCCCAGAGAATTTTTGGTCTGGAGAAGTTCTTCCCATCCCAGAAACACTGGTTCTTCATACTGGGAAGTGGGGAGAACAAAGTTACTTCTTGCTTGAAGTCTGAAGTATTTGGGCCCTAGAAACTGATGACAGCAAACATGTTATGATGCCCGCTTTGTGGATGGAGCACTGTGATAATTTAGTTCCTGTCTGGTGCTTAAGGTGATAGTTGGTGTCTCATGCAGTCAGTAGGCTTGCTAATAAAGAAAGAAGGAAAGTGAATATAGATCAAGAAATTACTTATGTATGAATCACCTGTACTTTGCTTCTTCCACTGCAAAAAGAATATAGTTAGTGGGAGTGGTTATAGTTATTAATGTCACGTCTGACAGAAAAATGTGGTTTGGGGTTAGTGACTGCTGGAATATAAATCATGCAGGGGTTTTTTTGGTAACAGCCAGTCAACACTGACCATAGAACAGTACTGAGAGATTCAGGGAAGTTTATTTTGGGCATATTAACCTTTCCAATGCATGCAATAGAAAAATCTTATTTGTATTTATAGAAGATTCTGTTGTTCATGTTACATCTGTTGTTTGATTCATAATAGAGTTTCTATGACTTACAATCTTGCTGTTAATATTGCTTTTCTCTTCTGTTTTTCATTTTTAAAATAAAGATTTATTTCAGTTACAAATCAACATGTTTATCATTTAGGACCTTAGAAGTCTACATTGTTTGGGGCTGAGTCCTATTTAGTTCAGGTGGCCTCCCTAGTGTATAGGGAGTTCATCTCCAAATGAGTTCATCACTAACATCAAGGAACAGATTCTGCTAACCTTCAGCAAAAGCCCCATGGAAAGAGCTGGTAAGCCTGTCCTTTTATGATCTGCAGAACCCCTGAATAAATCTGTGATTGTGTCTGATTCACAGGAAAGAATCAGTGAAGAAGAACAAAGCCACAGATACAATTCATGTTAGCCATATTTTTCAAACTGTTCAAAAATACAAGTAAGCTGTTGCTGCATAACTCTTTTCATATGATCATTAACTTCAGCACAAGGCAATTTTACATGTCTCAATAAAAAGGTTTCTTCACATTTCCTGTGAAATTCTGAGGTTGTCCCACCTCACCTCATTTCCTTCATGTCCTTTCATTGTAGACCTCAGAGCCGACTAAGATTGCAGGGAAATTGTATCAAAGTCTCAGACTTTGTTCTGGTTGTTTGCAGAGCTCCCACCCCATCATACCAAGTGCCTTACACGCATTCATCCTCTCTGTGAAGAGGAAAGTATTTCTCTCTCAGTTTTTCAGACAGGAAGGGTTAAACCAGATATAGCTAGCAGCTTGCCTAAGATCACGCATATGAATGCCTGGACTGCCTTGGAGAATAAACCTCCAGTTTTTGTGAATCTGCCCTCTGTGAATCTGCCCACCACAAGAAAATTTTTTTCTCATGTATTTGTGCTCATACCCTGATATGAAAATTCATTGGTTTTCAGGAACTCTGAAGCTTGCTGCTCGCTTGGTGCCACTAGCTGGCCACCCTGCATGTAGAGTACTTGTGTAAGCAGCCCTTGCGCTTGTACAGGGCATTAAAATGTTCCGCATTTGTCTGTTCACAGCTAAACCATTTTTAGCCCTGGATGCAAAGAAAACCATTGTCAATCACAGATTACTTCTGCTAGGGAGTGGTTCTCACGCTGTGGCTCCTTGTTAGACAAGGAGAATGTGGGGGTTTCCCTTCCTTTCCCCTCCCCTGCATTCCAGCCATTTAAAAGGAAACTTAGTTGTAACCCAGAAGGTGAAGAATCCACACTGCCGGGCCAGTGATACTTTGGAGACTGATACTGCTTTCCCAGAGGCTCTCTTTTGACACAAATGAGATTTTTTTTTTCTCCTTTGACAGTGAAATCACTGTATGGCAATACCAAACCCATCAATTGTGTATTATTTTAACAGATCACTTAAGTCTAAGGTATTGTAAATTCTTTGATACAGGAAGAAATGGTTGAATCTGTTTGTATAAACCTAGCAAAACAGGCCTGCATCTCCTTTGAGTATGTAGTACAAATAACATAACTATATTTATTGCAAGGAGAGCTTGTGTTTGTAACCTTTGTGGTAATTAACAGCAGGACAACAACTCAGATTAATTTTAGAGCCACATCAGCAACAAAACAGCAAGCAAGACTGTTTAAAGCTGCTATGAATGTGTATAAGCGCAGACATGATTACCTTAATCCTCAGCCAGTATGAGTTTTAAAGCCAGTTAACTTAATTGCTTATTCGGTTTCTGTTTGTTGTGCAGTGATCTCGAAAAAAATTCAACAATAAGCAGTCTCTCTGCTCCACTCAAGTTCAAGCTTCATTAAGCACCCAGAAAAATGTGTGAAATTCTATCATAAATAATTTTCTCTTCCTGCTGTAGGAATTGCCTTTTGCAGAGCAAGAGAAGGAGAGACAGTGCATGCATTTGTTGTAACTTTCTCCAGGAAGTGCTAGAGTTGGAAAGATGAGTTACATGCAGAAATAAAGTGCTTTTAGTGGGAACATCCAGTGATCAATATGTAATACTTCAGCCTGCTAAATCTACACTCTTGCCCTCTACCCCTCTCCACCTGTGTGCAAAATAGAGCCAAATCCTCCTACACTGAGGGATTTAAACTTTTGCAGGGGGCAGTTCAAGGCATTTGCATCATTCTAGTCCACTTACAGCATCCAAAGCAGGTTTAAATGGGGCTTGGTGATTGCTAGATCTCACAGACATGATGTTCAGCCATAATGAAGTCTGCCCAAGTAGCCTTTTCACCAACCATTTGAATTGATACAGCCACTGTAAAAGGAGGTGATTGTCCACCAGGCAAAAGCACCTCTGGGGCATGTGGAATACTTGCATGGGCTGACTGGCATTTTTGGGGCTTCTTTAAAGGCATGTGTTCACACATAGTAGGTGATAGCATTTTTTATTTGCTTTGATGTATTGCCTGTTTGACTATTTGTTATTCTTTACTACCTTCCTACCTGATTTTAAATGAATATGATTGACTTTTGTAACTAGGCACTGGAATACAGGACCTGATAGTCTGCTGTTGGTAGTGCTGGTGTCTGTCCAAAGGAAATTCAGTGATGCAGGTTTATACACTAGGAAATCTCAAACAGAATTTGCCCCCCTACATTCATGATATATTGAAATTTCCCTCTAGTGATTTTCTGTGGGCACATTTTGCTAGAGATTTGGGGGGGTTTAACAGTACAAAGCTATCCAATAGAAGTCCAGTTGTAGCTGAATTGAGGCCTTTTTTTCCTCTCATTACAAGAGAAAGACATGAGCATATCCACTGTC